ACAGCAAGGTGGCTAGTCACTTGTTTGAAGAGTACATGGCAAGAAGTAGGGTGTATGAAGACTGGAAAGGTAGAAGGGGCCTAGGTTGTAAAGGGCTGTGAATGCCAAAAAGATGTTATGGTTGATCCCAGAGGCTATGATTAGTTGGTTGTTGTCCTTTGTAGTGAAAGGGGACCAAAATGACATCACTATGTTGGGGTCAATGTACAGTGTTTCAGACTGTGGCTGATCCAACCAATATGAAGTTGGAAGTTTTTATCACAACTTAGACAAAAATAGTCTGTACAAACATTTGGCATGAAGATGTCTCTAAATCTGTGCGTCTCACATTTCTTTTATCTTCTGCTCTGCTCACAGAGCACAGCACCTTCCTTGATGCCAGCATTCCATACTGGACAGGCCTGTCTCCCATATCTCACAATTACTTTCAAAGTTCTGCAGAGAGACCTAGAGAGTGTCCTTGTAATGCTTCTACTTGTATGAGTTCTCTGTAAAATAGTCTTTCAGGCAAATGTACATTTGTCATTTGAATATGACCAGGCCATCAGAGTTACACTTTTAGCGGTAGAGTTTGGATATTTGACAATTCAACTCAAGAAAGGACCTCAGTACCCAGTACCTTATCAGGTGATCTTCGGAATCTTCTTAAGTCAATTCAAATGGAAGCAACCCAGTTTCCTGGCATGGTACTGGCATACTATACAGGTTTCAGAGGCATACAATAATGAAGTCAGCACAGTGACTCCACAGACCTTCAGTCTGGTAGGCAACCTAAAACCTCTTCTCTCCCACACTTTCCCTCAGAGCCTCACAAACACTGAGCTAGCTCTGGCAATGCATGTGTCAACCTCATCATCTATATGGACATTCCTGGAAAGTGTACTGCCAAAATAAGTTAATTTATCCACAGCATTCAAAATTTCTCCATTTGCTGTAACCAATGGTTCCACGTATGGGTGGTGTACCACTGGCTGATGGAGAACCTCTGATTTCTTAGTGTTAATAGGCCAAAATTAGCACAAGGAGCAGAGAAATCAATACATGCTCTGTTGCATCTCAGCCTCAAAGGCTGAGTTGAGGGAATAATCATTTGCAAACAAAAAATCATGTACCAATTCTCCCTCCACTTTAGTCTTAGCTTATAGCCTTCTCAAGTCAAATAATTTATAACTAGTTTGGGATTTGATCTTGATGCCATTTTCATCCTTGTTGAAGGCATCCAACATCATAAGAACTTCATGCTAAAAAGCATGGGAGCAAGTACCACTGCCCAGTTTCATTCTGTTGGTGACTGAGAAAAGCGCAAGAGCATCATCCATTATCCAGCACCTGTATGAGAATGCCATCATGGAACTGGTGATGAACTTTGGGCATCCAGATTTTTCCATCGTCTTCCACAAGCCTTTGACAGTATCAAAGGCCTTGGTCAGACCAATGAACATTGTGTACAGAATATTTTTTTGCTTCTGGTATTTCTCCAGGCAGCAAACACCATACTGACCGTTCCTTGGCCCTTTCTGAAGTCACACAGGCTCTCAGGTAGATAACCATCTTCCAGGTGAAGGATCAGGCTATTAAAAGGACTCTAGAGCAAGAATCTTGACAGCAATGACTACGAGAGAGACTCCTCTGTGATTGTCACAGAACAACCTATTTCCTTCTCCTTTATAGAGACAGACAATGGAAGAATACTTGAACTCCTGGGGCATAACTTCCTCTTGCCATACAACCCAGAAGATTTCAGTCAGGATCATGTCCTTATCACTAATCAATGTGGCTCCATCAGCACTGAGTAGTTTAAATGCACCATAGTCTTTGGCCCATAAATAGCCTTTAGGGCATCATAAAAGCACTTTGGATTTAAATCCCTAGTCTACCTCAATATTTTAGGATGGGAACCTGTCTAAGCAAGCTTCCCCACGCTGCTCCCTTTTCTTCCTCAGTCTTCTTTGTTCAGTTTCCTCACCTCAACATTATCTCAGTATAATACCCTAGAATTTGTGAAATAGAAAAACAGCAGGCTAATCATTTCAGACAGGACCCTTCCCCTGATGGCTAGAGTAAGAACTAGGAAAGACAAGTCAGGGCTTTTGTTTCTGGTATAATAATACCATTTTTACTGTTTGCCCCTTGCATAAAAATTACAAGCTTTATGCAATGAAAGTTCTTAAAATCTTATCAACCTGTAGTTTTAAATCTGATAGCTAAGAAGAGCTTCCTTACTAATGTAAGTACTCAAATGCTTGAGAAACAGTACGAATACTTTGTTGTTGTTGTTACTATTTAGTTGTTTTCAGTCATGTCTGACTTTTCATGAACCCTTCTAGGATTTTCTTGGCAAAGATAGTGGAGTTATTTACCATTGCCTTCACCAGTTCATTTTACAGATGAGAAAACTGAGGCAAACAGGTTAAGTGACTTGCCCAGGGTCACACTGCTAGTAAGTGTCTGAGGCCAGATGTGAACTCAGACCTTCCTGACTCCAGGCCCAACATTCTATTCATTGCACTACCTAGCCGCCCAAGTACAACTACTACCCCTCACAAACATTACATTTGAGCTAAAATGGCCTACTAGACTTTCCTCAGAAACAAAATTCCATTTTTTGCCTAGTGCCTTTGCACATTTTATGTCTGGAATGTTCTTTCTTTTCAACTGTGTCTCTTGGAATCCTTAACTTACTTTAAAGCTCAGTTTCAGTCCTGCCTCCTACAAGAAGTGATAGGAAAACAGTGGAGTTTTAGTACAGGGTGACAAAAATCACTTCGGTGGATGAATGGAAGACGGATCAGAGTGGTGAGAGACTTCAGGCAGTCAGATTTTCCAGCAAATTATTGCAATAATTCAGGCATGAGTTGACAAAGGCCTACACTAGAGTGCTGGTAGTGTCAGAGGAAAGAAGGGGGCATATTTGAGAGACACTGCAAAAGTGAAATCAACAGGTCTTGGCAATAAATTGGATAGGGAGGAGGTGGGGAGGGGAAGGAGGAGAAGAGATAGTGTGGAATCAAAGATAACTCCTAAGTTGCAAGCCTGAGGGACTGGGAAGATGGAGGAAGATGGTATTGCTCTGGGCAGTAAATAGAGGAGTTAGGAGGGTTTAGGGAGAAACATAATGAGTTCAGTTTAGGACATGTTGAGTTTAAAATATTTACTGAACATCCAGGTGGAAATGTTTGAAAGGCAGCTGAAAAGGGAGACTAGAAGTCAGAAGAGAGGTTAGGTCAAGATACATAGATTTGAGAATCATCAGAATAGATATCTATTAGGTGTACAGACAACATATAGATGTATATATTGTATATATAGCATATGCAAATTATATCTATGTAATGTTATGTAAATACAGGAAAATATTTGTATGTAATATTTTATTAAACATATAAATGTCTGGCATACCTACAAAGAGAAAAACTTCAAGTAGAGTAATATTTATATACTGAAGATGAAATCTCAGATTATAAAAGATATCTCAGAATTTGTGGGGGGAAATGTAATAATATAAATACCTTCTTTAAATATATCTAACTTAAGATTATTTAGTGGAAGGGGGTACAGAAGGCCTTGAACAATAATTGGTGTAAAAAATATTGGAGGTGACAACTCCATCCTCTGATATAATAAGCAACTCTTCACTCAGAGAGATATAATATAAATCCTAAAATAAAGTGAACAAAATCATATTCAGTTTTTCACTTCCATAATCCAACACCCCTGCAAAAGAAGGAAGTGAAATCTCTTATCTCTTCTTTGGGGTCATTCTTGAAGATCATAGTGACACCTCAATTACTTTCAGTTTTTTATACTTTCTCTTTGTACTTACATTGTTATGTTCCTTATGTATATTGTTTTCCTGGTTATACATACTTCACTTTGCATCAGTTAATATGTCTTCCCATGATTACACATTCTTTATGTTCACCATTTCTTACAAAATAGTAATACTCCATTATACTTATTTACTCCAGTTTTTTAGTCATTCTCCCATTGATGGACATCTACTTTGTTCCCAGCTCTTTGCTAATAGAAATAATGTTTTTACATATAGGTGTTGGTGTATGGAAACCTTAGTTCAAATCCCACTCAATAGTTACTATTTGTTTGACTATGGGCAGCTCATTTAACTTCCTTAGACCTCACTTTCCTGATCTGTATCTAACATTTGTGTGTGTGTGGGGGTGTGTGTGTGTGTGTGTGTGTGTGTGTGTGTGTGTGTGTGCGTGTGTGTGGTGTGGATTTGTGTAAATAGGTCCATCTGATCTGGTACGGTGAGAGTTAGCTCCTTCTTACCGTTGGCTCTCACCTTCATCTGGACACTGCCACTCTTTTCTAGCTCCTCCTTTTCATAATAACTTTCTGTCTGGTCAACTCCTTTATCACCATGGTTAGTAGTAGAAAAATCACAGACAATTTCTGGACTTGGAAGCAGTAAGATCTGGACTCAAGTCTTCCCTCAGACACTAGGTATGCAATCCTGGGCAAGTCATTTTAACCTCTCTGCCTCAGTTTTCTCATTTTCAAAATTATAGGGTTGAACTAAATGGCCTCTAAGGTCCCTTCTAACTCTAAATCTATGACATAGTTACCTCCTATAACAATTGTCTAAGTATGTACTGCCATAGAAAGTTCCAGAGCCACATAGTCTAGAACTAGCAAGCCTGTTCTAGCTATTCAAACACATGTTATAAATGATGGCATTTACAAATATATTATTATTATTAATTATTATTTTGAAACAGTGATGAAGTAAAGCATCCCATAAAGAACCTTAATACTAAGACATTTACACGGTTTATAAAGTATTTCACAAACAAGAAAGTATTTTATAATCATTTTAGTTCTTGAATTCTCAGTGGGAAATGTGTAATATTTTGTCCACCCTTCTTGAATTGTGTGACCATTCTTACTAGGACAGTAACTTATAAAACTTGATTATATGGAAAGTCAATGGCTCTATTTACAACACAAGAAATAATAAGGTTTTTAAAATTCAAACTTACCTTGGCTTTTTAATATTTACTTCAGTTACATTTTCTGAACTACGTTTCAAAAGCTCTTCATGGTAAGAGGTCGATATTACTCCAAATCTGTTTATAACAGGCACCCTGGTAATAGGCATATTCTCAGGTAATCAACCTAAAGTAAAATAGGAAAAGATATTTGAAATATGAATATGAATGTTCTACATGTGTGCATGATTGGGACAGGGACTAGTGTAAACCACCGATGTAACTCCCCATGGGAAATTGACTGGAACCTGCTTCTAGAAGAGTTGTGATAATCTATAGCCCAGTGCTTCTTAAACTGCGGGCTGGGACTACATGGGGTTGTGACCCACAGTTTAAGAAGAGCTGAAGGGGTCACGAGTGGAAAAAGTTTAAGAAGCCCTGATCTATACTATAAGTGTCTCAGAGAGATCTTGGCGAATGCCTGACATTCTTTAATTAGTGCCAGTCTATAAACCCCAGAGGGCTTACTCTTGGCACAGTTTCTACATCATCCTTCCCCCAAGAATAGTATTAAGATGCCAGATTGACAGATGAGTCCTCATCTCAGCTCTGTCCGTAGATGTTAAATTGGCTACAAAAACCAGCATCGATTCTGACTCCTGAAATCTCAGACTCCAAGACTTACACTCTCCTGACATTTTAAAACTCAGCAAGTTGAAGCCTCCAGACACCTTCCCTGATCTTCTTAATTAAGTCAAAAGAACAAATGCTGAGGTAGGCAAAGAACTAAAACCCATATTCATAGCACCAGTGTTTGACCTCAGAGGGAAAGAGCCAAAACTCTCTTGAGAAACAATGATATCTCACTAGATGCCATCAGTGAAGCGGTCATATCAAGGCAAAGGTCCACAAAGAATGTGAGCAGCCAGAAAGAAAGAGGCTGAGGCCAACAAAGGCTTTTTGAAGGCATCTCTGAAGTTTTGGTTTTACAACCGCAGCCAAAGAGACTGCTGCCCACCAGGTGGTGAGCAGACCAGAACCAGTTACAGAATGTCTACTCTTATGCTCTGAGCAAGTTCCATTCCAAATCATAACAAATCTCCTGAAAGTAGACTCCTGAGAGCCTTTTCAACATAGGAAGTTGCATTAGTGGCACTTTACACATATGCCATTCCCTATTATATATATACATACATTTATATGTGTACATAAATATACATGCATGTATGTCATGAAACCTATATGTGGAGATATATTAAAGTTTTCATCTATAGTTTCTGAGCACCTCTAAACTCCTACTCACTGCTTCACTGGCACTGAGATATCACGGGGGTCCAGGTTATGTGAGAAACATGATGGAGGACTAGACATTTGATTTGATCCCCTTGATCTCTCAATCCTCGCCAAAACATAAATTATGCTCCAAAGATAAAGAAACTTAAGCTGTCTTCATTTTTTGAGACACCCTAAATCCAAAAGAGGACATTAAAAAAAAATACTTCTACCGTGAGCTCACTCAGCACTCCTCCCCCACCTCCCATATTAAGGGTGAGGCTGCATTAGCTGACCCACACACACCTACACACCCCTCATTCTTTCCAGTGCTGTGGAGATCCCAGGTCCAGGCTGTAGTAGGACCAGGACAGACAGATAGCCACCTCTGCAGTGCTACAGACCATAGAAGCTGGGGCTGCACTGCCAACACCACTGTGGGCAGAGTTCTTCCTATAAAAGATCTTTGCAGAAGAGGCAGCAGCAGAGAAGAGGCAGAATATATCTCTGGGCTTGAAATATAGCTTAATACTATACCTCTGGGCTTATATATATGTATATATATATATAAGTCATATATATATATATGACTTAATACTATACCTCATACCCCTTTCTCCTCTGAGCCTCAGAGACCCAAATAAAAAAAAAATATCTATCCCACAGCACCAGCATGTGTGGCAGCTATCTGAACTGCCAGTGCCAGGCCAAAGAAGTGAGTAATAAAAGGAGGGAGGGGGACTGAACACATTGTGTACGTGTGTGTGTGGGGTGGGGGGTGGCATTCTGCTAAGCTTGAGAAACAGCATTCAGTATCTAGGTGAGGCCAGTTTTACCCACCCAAAAGTCACTTGGGTCAAAAATTTAAACTGGTATACTATTAACTATCCATTGTGGGAAGACTGAACTTACCAAAGATCTCAGGTAAACAAAGACCTTGAAACAGATAAATCAAGAGGGGAAACATTAACAGAAGTTAAAAAATGGCCTCTAGGGCTATTAAATGAGTTCAAGCATCAATGCATAAATACTGCAAAGCAAAGGAAAATGATACAACATTTGGGTGAGACAGAGGACTCTGGAATCTAAGGAGAATGTGGAACCAAAACATGCTATTCCTGAGTAGTTAAAAAAGAAATGAGAATTATGAGAGCAAAATTTATGGACTGAACAGCAAAAACTAGGGGCAGAATAGAAAAACTGCAATGGCAAGCAAGTCTCACTAAAATAAATGAAAGAAAAAACAGTACATCGGGGATGCAAATACACAGAAATGTCAGAAAATATAGAATAAAAGAAGCAAAAAAGAGTAATGTTAAAAGAAAATATGCTCACTATGCAAGCAATACATTTAGATCTTCAAGGTCTTAAAGATCTTAAAATGCACAGAAACAACCTAAAGATCACAGATCTCCTAGAAGAAAATGAATGGACAAAAATCCTTATCATCATAATGCAGGAACTAACATAAGTGAATTGCTCAGAATTTCTAAACACAGAGAATGAAATGTTTATTGAAAGAATTCATACATTGTTTTGAGAAAAAAACCCAAGGCTGCAAACTCCAAGACCCTTAGTAGTTAAACTGAACAATTCCCTTTAGAAACAAGATCTGTAAGCAATCAGAAGACCTTCACATACAAATGAGAGGAAATTTGAATAACTCCAGACTATTCTGCTCGCCTCAGGAAACTGCCTGAGGGAATGTAGTAAGTTCTAAAAAGCAATGGAGTTCGAGATGAAGCCCAGAATGACCTACACTGTAAATCTGAGGTCAACTATAAATGGAAAAAATGAGGGACATTCAATAATAAAAAGTCATTTTTTCTTCGAAAGAAAATCAGGCCTAAAGAGATTATTTGCTTCTCAAATGCCCTAGATAATAAGAATGAAGAAGGGACAAATGAATACAGAAGCCAAGGACAGCAACAGCAACAAAGTGACAGCAGAAAGACTAGTAAGAGACTGCCCTCTAAATGTATACAAAGAGATAGAGATGAAAATATAAGTCAGGTGAAAGTAAGTCAAGAAACGGGCCTGGGGGCATTATGAATAGAAACTGGCTATATCCTGCCCATAAACAAATCAATGTGCTTGTCTGCTTTTTCTCTTTGCAGTTTTTGGTTTGGTTTTGTTTTTTTTTTTTTTGTGAGACTACATTATAAAATGGGAGAGTGAATGAAAGGGAAAGAGGAGAGTGGGGTGATAGAGGGGAATATATGATGTGCCATGGTCAAATCAAGAGCTAAAAAAGAGGGTAAGGTGATTCTGTTGGTCTCAAAAAGAGAAGAACTCAGGGGAGTGGGTGAGAAGGTGACAAAAAGGATTGAAAAGGGAGAGGGAAAAGAGGGAGGTCTTGCTTTAGTGGGAGAGAGTTTCAATGACCACCTGTCCTACCTTGGAACAAAGGGAGTTGGATATTCTGAGGACAACTGACACCTGAGGAAGTGGGTGGGCACAGACTCAGGGAGGAGATTTTGAGGCAAATGGAGAAAAGAAGATAACAGTGGGGAGGTATATATCAAAGGTGAGGAGAGAGGAGAGAGGTCCTACCGTAGGGTAGTGTTTTCTCTGTCACTTGCAAGAATTGGTGATTTGTCTTTGTTCAGGAGTGAGGCACAAAGGAAAGGGGGAATACATGGGGCAGTCTCTACAAGGCAGTGGCAGATCCTTTAGGATACAGGGGAGATCTTGGAATGGATACTTTGGAAATTATGATTCCATGAGGAATACAGAGAATAGAGACTAGGTAATTATAGGGACCAGGAAAGAGAAGATGAGGCACTAGAGGAGACAAAAGAAGAAGATAGATAGTGAATAAAGTGAGAGAAATCTTCTCTGGAGAGGGGCACCAAAAAAATGAAATTTAGAAAAGTAGTGAACAGAGCTAGTTGAAGGTGAGAAGAGGGAGAGGAAATCAATTGACTGAGGCGAGGAAAAAAGGGGAAGAATTAAATAATCAGATAAAATCAGGAACTAAAAAGGAACCAACAAGCAAAACCCCAAAGGGAAAAAGGTAACTAAAGGGAGGAGGAGATCAGGGTTAAGGGAAAGAGAGCCAGGGGGAACAGGGCCACCTTAAAAAAATACATTAAAGTAAATTAACTGATGAATCATTGTACTGTGTTTATAACAGAAGAGAGGAAAAACAATAACTTGAAAAAATTTTTAGAGAGAGATGAAGGGAAATATAAACCTAATAACTCTTTTAACTTTATATGCAAATCGATTAAACAATTCAATAAAATGAAAAGAGTGACAGATTGGGTAAGAAAACAAGGTTGCACAATCTATTGCTTTCAAGAAACATTTAAAAAACAAAGACTGAGGAGATGGAAAAACAATTTTACTATGTATCACGTGAATCTAAAAAAGCAGGAGTTGCAATCATGCTATCTAACAAAGAAAAAACAATATTTGAAAAATTAAAAGGGCTAAACAAGAAAACTACATTATGATGAAAGAAACCATAAACAACAAATGGATTAACATTAATGAACTTCTATATTCCCAATTCCTTAGCATACAAATTCATGAAGGAAACATGAAGTAATCTACATGAAGACATAGTAACATGGTAGTTACAGGAATCTTTATGGTATCTTCTAAATGGCAAAATATATATTCTCAGTGCCACATGGAACTTATGCAAAACTGACCATATAATATTAGGGCACAGAGATATTGCAAACAAATATGAAAAGGTAGAAATAGTTAATACATCCTTTACAGACTATAACACAATAAAAACAGTCCAGGGATCACAAATAAAAAACACAGACCTAAATGGAGATTTAACAATGAAACCCTAAAATAATGAGTGGGTTAAAGAACAAATCATAGAAACAATAATTATGTGAAAGAAAATGATTATGATGAAAGAACATGCCAAGATTTCTAGAGTCGAGGGGAGAT